TTGGATCCTGGGACAGAGCAGCTGGGGTGCTGCCGGTTGGCCTCTTAAGGGGGGGTAGTCTTATACGGCGAGTATAGGTGAAAAACTATGTTTTAACTGGAAAATTAGGGGGTCGTCTTATACGCCCAGTCGCCTTATACACCAGAAGATACGGTACATTCTGTCACAGTGTGGTATAAGAATGTAGTTAGAATGAAGTAGAACTAGTGTTCTACTTCACAAGGAATATGGAGATAGATAGATAGATAGATAGATTATAGCTTTGCCTATATAAAGAGCACTATCTTGTTTTGTTCAGGATTTTGCTGCTGCTCCATGTTATTAATAAAATGTAATGTGCTGTGCGTTTGAGCACGCGCACACACACATACAGGACAGCTCTGTGCAGGAATTTATAAACGGTGCATATCCCAACCTTTTATCCTGATAGTTCTCAATATGCTATATAAAAGTGAAACAAATCAAAGATATTCCACTACCATGTATAACACACTACATTATCCTTCTTTTGTGCTGTTTAATTATTTCTTGTAACTTATGATTCCATATCTGAAGGACTATTTATCCAATTTTTATAGCTGAAATGGGGTAAATAGATTCAGTAACATATACAAATAAAACACTGTCATGAACAATAATATAGATGATACAGGGCTGAGAAAGTAGTGGCTTTGTAGAGTGAAAATTGTTAACATGGTACAAGTATATCTGTATGAAACAGTATACATTATATATGAAATGTACTGAGCATGTGCATAGTTTTATATTTGTTATACATATATGAAAAGCTTATATACGTCATGGCTTGTGTTTTACAGGGGGTTAAATTAATACGAAAATGATACCATGTAGCCTTAAAACTATGAATTTTAAAATCAGAATGTATTACTTTTTCAGACAATTACATAATAATAGGTAATAATATCATAATCACATTACCTTAATATCAGGTAATATAATTACTTGAATTATTAGAAAATTGTAACCCTTAGAATTTTTTCATTCTGCAGGCTACCAGTAACTCTAGTTGGTAAAAATTATTGGTGTGCTGTGGTGGAAAAATCAAGTCCCTGATTATTATACTAGTTTAGATTTGTATGTTCAATACCTCTGAGATAATACATTGTGGATCCTACTCCACAAGGCCATATAAATTATTAAAATGGGGTTATGTTCCTTTTAAACTATTTTGGTGATGTTCTTCTCTTATTTAAAACTACTTTTATCATTATTTTTTACATCATTAAATATATTTAATTTCTTCCTAGGATAACGGTATTAATCTTGTGGATTATGTTGTCATATATTACCTACGGCACTTTGACAAGGTAAATGATTCATTTGCTGTATTAACTACTATATCAGAAAGTATATTACTTAGAGATTATGCTGACAAAGAAATTAGAGAAAAACTTGAATTTATTCCTAATTTTTCTCATCTGGTTACAATAGTTCCAGTAAGGAAAAATATTTTTTAATTGAATACTAAAAGCAAGGCTAAACATTGTCTGTATTCAATGTTATACTTTATATTGGCATGTTCACCAAACAGTACGTGCAGTTGTACAGTTTCCCAAAACATGGATAGCATGAACAATCAAGCCTTACTTGATATGCGGTTATATAGACAGCTCACAGCATGGGCTTTTTTCCATAAAGCTACAGAATTTTAATGGTAGCCTTGTTTCTGCATGTTTGCTACCAGTGTTTGTTATTGGAAATGGCTATGCCTCATGTAAGGACTATTGCTATCATATAACATGAATAGCCTGGTTTTTCATTGGAACTTGGCTGTGTCTGCTTGCGAGCTGAACACTGCTCTGACTTCCATCAATTTTATATTTTTTCAAAAATATGCAATTAAAACAAAAATAAAAATTGTACATTATTCACACTATTGAAGTGGGAAGCCAATAGCTGCAGAACTCTTCTGTAAAGACATTGATAGAAGGCTGAAACATCATTAGGCAGAACTCCTGTTGATGAGAGGACAGCTGGAGGATGTTGATTCAAGATGAAATAGTACAGCTGATAAATGATTAAATGATGTCTTTTTCTTGGTGGGGGGAAGAGTTCTGCTGCTTTGGCTAGCTTACATATTTATAACTCCTATGGTGATAAGGTTTTTAATGTATTGTTATGAGCTGGATGAATCCTTGTTATGGGTTGAGTTAAAACCACATTGAGATTGATAGGTATGGACTTGCCCTTCAATTAGACAAATTATAAGCGTAACTCCCACTTAGGACAGGAGCGTTTGGCTGAATATTGTTTTGGGTTGGGATATGTGTTTGGAAACAGATGACAAATATACAAAGAAGAGACGCAAAAACAGAGAGGGGGAGGCAAGAAAGCCAAGTGGGTGCCTATAAGCGTAGTGTGACCATGGAAAAATCTAGGTAATTAACTTTGGGATGGCTGAAGAGGCTTGGGAGCTGTAAGCTGAGAAACTGCTCCATTTATTATTGGGTCTTTCTGCATTTAAATATTAATGTTGTGCTACATCAAATGTTGGAGTTAGATAGTGAATGGGAACTGAGGTTTAAATTTGGCAGTGGCTCCCATCTTTGAACTCAAATTTCCATTTCAAATTATAAAAGAGTTTTGGAAGATCTGAAATCCTCATCTGAGTTTTGCTTCTTAGACCCATTTCTGATTGAATATAAATAAATATTTTTTGTTTTAAATGTACTTGTGTGGGAATGTAAGCAGCAGTTTCATAAACTTGTTTTTGGAAGGAGGAGCATCTTTGCAATTAAAGGTATTTTAACATTTGGTGCTTCAAACGTAGGGAGCTTGTAGGACCAATTATGGAGACTTGGAGTCTCATGGGGAAAAAGAGATAACATGGTTGGGTCAGTGTGGATGAGTGAGTGCACTAGAAAAGCATTTCTAGAAATGAGGGAGTGAAGGGCCAGTGGTTTTCCCCTAATGTTGAACACTATGTTGTATGTCTTTTTCTTGTTCACATGTGTACCACTACACCCTTTTCATATGGTCAAAATGCTGACTAGCACAGGCACAAAAGATATTAGTCTTTTTGTTGCACACGTGTATGTGCCATACTGTAATTTTAACGCTTCTGTGGGAATTCTTGAAAAATACTCCCGCTGATCTTTGTTGGAAGAAAAATATAAATGTGTAAATTTTGTCCATCTTTTCTGGGTTTGTTTTTGTGTCTTTATAATCATATAATATTGAACTTTTCCTAAATGTTCTCAATAGAATAATCTCTGCCATCCATGGAGTTGTTCTTCATTAAAGACTGAGGTTTGAGAAGCAGAAAGCATTTTAAACTCAATAGCATATGCTTGTAAAATGCTTTGTCATTGAAGTAACTCTTACACAACACCTTTGTATCATTAGGATTTCCTTTGAAAAGTAGCTTTTTAGAGTTTTTTGGTTTTGATTTTTTTTCATTGTCATTCCAGAGACAAAGTGCATTCTTAAGGTTGCTTCTGTAAATGGTAACCCAAGTGAATTCTTTCTACACATAAACTATGTGTTTTTATTTGTTCAGAATACTATATTCTAGCTAGTGCATAAATATTGATGGAAATTTAGGATCATACTGTATGAGTCCTTTTAATAAATTGGGGTAAGATTATGCCTGAAAATAGTTGTCATAAGTTTGCTTGTTCCAGTGAAACACATATTCATATTGTCATATTGTTAAGAAATATTTAATCCCTTATCAGAACCTTTATTGGTATAAGATGAACTGAAATTGATGGTTTAGTATTATCTGCTAGATTAGGTTGGTATTCTCCATTAGAGTTTGATTGTACTATAATATTTTAGAATAGGATTGCATTATTATTATTATTCTAGTATAATGATGGAAATGAAAGGTGAAATACTGGTCCCATTAAAGTTAACAGCAAAACACCCACTGACTTCATTCAGTAAGGTCAGGATTTCACTTAAAACACATGTTCCAGTGAACAGCTATTTTCAATTTAATATATCTGCAACTTTTGTAACACCAATTTATAGTTAAAATGTCAAGAAAAATAACTTATTTTGATATGAAATTTTCATAGTTGTCTACTTTTTTATGTACTTATTTGTTTGTTTATTTTAGGATGCAGGGACAGACAAGAGTATTTTCCCTCTACCAGAACCACAAGATTTCTTCCAGGCCTCCCAAGTTAAGTTTGAAGACCTAATAAAAGACTTAAGGAAACTGAAAAGAGATCTAGGAGGTAACTAGGAACTTTTACATTGTTATGCTAACAACTGAATGCCATTTTTAAAAGGGAACTTTATGAGCTTTGTTTATTATTAATTAGAGTTATAATGTTGTTCACACTAGGTATTTATTCCCTGGCATAAATTACAAACATAAAATAAAAATAAATCTACATTGTGACTTTTTAAAAATGAAAGCAAAACCAGCAAAAAGTAATTTTCTATAATCCTTTTTAAATTCAAGGGTCCCAAAAGAGATCTCTTGGAAATTTGCTTTAATTATGTAGGAATTTTCCTCTTGCTTCTACAGGATTCTGTGTTTAACTGGAGATGTCTTTTGGTCCAATAACATAAATACTGTTTGCCTCGGTCCTTGTATAATAATTTAACAGCTACAAAAAGAATTTGAACATTGTTAATGTAAAAATAAAGCACTGCTTGCCAAGAAACAGCAAAGGGAAAAAATGGAGAGCTTCAGCTCAAAGTATTTTTAACCCTGGGACATAAAATAAACATTTTAAAATGTTTATTGTAAAAAGGGACTCAGAAAGGCAAGTCACCTATCAATCAAAGCACAGGAAAATAAAATAGGAATGGGGTGCTCTCTAAGTATTCTAGTCAGTTTCATGTTTACCTCTTGCTTTGTAAGACTTCAACACAGAAAATAACAACTGAATATATTTAGCTTCACACTTTTGTTTGGGAAAATAACTATTAAGGAAGCTACGTATATTAAAGAATTAAATAAATGAATTCTGCATAAAATATTCTGCTTAAATTTAAACAATATATTAATGTCTCGGGTGGGAGGTTTCAAACAAAACATTAATTTTAGCATCAACATTGAGCAAGATGAGCGTAAAGCAACAAAAACCATTACAAATAATTTATTCTTTCAGTTAGAAATGACTGAATTAGGTTATAGCCACCTTCAGGAGGGTTTCAAAGGTCAGCAGCGGTAGGAAGGTATCAGTTGTTGTTTATTCAACCCGGGCATAGATGAGTGCTCTATCTCCTCTCATCTCTTGGCCCTGTAAAACCCTTGGCCTGCCCTCTCTGTGCTAGTTTGTGCAGAAATGTGATCTGTGTTTGATGTTCTACTTCTCCAGCATGTAGTTCTGATACAGTGCATTTCACTGTTATAGCCTGTGCTGTAAGGCTTTGACATTCACATGATTTTAGTGGTAAATTGCAAAAAAAAATAAAGAAAAGTGGGGGTGTAGTGAAAAACATGATGGGTCAGGCTACCCTATCTTTATTAGATTTATACTTTTTGTTGTGATCTTTCACTTGTTGGCTTCAAGAGGTATATTTTGTCAGACTATCATAAAGAAAGGTAAAAGTTTTTATATGATCCCCTCTCAGATGATGGGTGAAAGGAAAGGAGACAGCAATGCTTTTATAGGAAAAATGTATCAATATAGTGCTAAGTTTGCCTTTGTTATGTTACTATATACAAACATTTGAAACGTGACAAAGTCAAACAATGGATAAAATGACACTGTGATATACAGAAAAAGTTTTCAAACAAAAATCATTCATGTAATCTTCAATGTGTTAGTGTATTTAACACTTGAAAGGCAACCAGAAATTTTTGGAGGAACACTAATACATTTCCGTAATGAATTTCTCTTTAAATTAAAAAATAGTAGTAGTAGAAACTTTGTACATAATACTGAGAGCATTGTGTGTAAATATTCCTTTTTAAAAAACATTTCCTTTCAAATTTATTTTGTTAGATAACACCGTAGTTTAGTTCGCATCAAATGTTTTAATTGAAGAGGATATAATTTTAACACATACAACAAAAGATTTGATGAGTCTCTGTAGTTTATTGTAGCTGTTAAAAAGTTGTGGCTGCTGCCAGAATACCAGTGAAAGTCTAAAGCTGAAACAGATGTGATTAGCAGAAACCAAGTCCAAAGAAGCGTCAGTCCCAGCCATCCAGACAGGCGCGGCCCTTCAGATGTAAATAATTTGAACAATATTAACTACAGTTGCCTGTATTATAGGGTACATTAGATTTATTTTATGGTTTGGTTGGCAAAGATAGCTTGCGTGTCCAGTCAAAGCAGACTTCCGTGGAAGTGTGATGAGACAAGGGTAATAAACGGGGTTTTCTCATGTGTTACAATGGAACAAATTACTGCTCTGTGCAGTGTTAGTGTTATTTTTCACAAACCTATTTTTTTAGATAATGCAATAGCACAAAAATTATGACAAAAAGCCACAGTAAATTTACATATCAACCAGTTTATCTGAAATAACAATTTAAGGTAAATGCTTGTTTCCTTAATAAAAATAAAATATTATACAAATTATTTGTTGGTCACTTAGTGAAGGCATTCAATTATCTTTATATCATAGGTGTTAAAATAGGAAGGATTGAGCTGTAATATCAGAGAGGAATTGTCTTAGTGGTCTAAGCCTTGGGTTTGAAATACCAAGACTCCATGGAACCAAAAGTTCAAATCCAGACAGGGGCCATGCAGCCTTTCATCCTTTTGAGGCAAACAGATTGAGTTCCATGCCATTTAATGCATAGAAATCTTTAAAGGGATAAACTTTAAAATTTCAACTAAAAATTGGCTCAAAATAATTTTTAAAAAACCCAAGCTTTTGCAAAAACAAATATAGCTGTTTCAATTAATTTTTTTAAATAAACTTTGAGTCAAAACAATTTCTAATACACATGCTACACAGGCTTTGCAGCCCAGAGAACTTGAAAGTTAAAATGATCATATACAGAAGTTAAATAGATTTAGCCAAATATCATTTTCTAAGCTGAGAGAAATACAGAAAGTACAAAGTATACCTAGTGCAACATAAATCAATGAAATTCTGATTCCTATTGACTTTTGTGATGCAAGGTTTTCAACTGAGGTTTATATAGTTCTTTTATTTTCAATAATTTGAAATATTTCTAGTAACATGTAAAGAAATTAATTTTATAATATGGGATTTTTAAATTAACTCTGTTCTTTTCTCTGGGTGTGTTTTTAAAAATCACATTACACCTTTCACTTGGTCTGTGGCAAAAAATGTTCCCTTCCCTTCCCTCCTGTCCTGAAATATTCCTTTCTTATCATTATGCAGTATGCTGCTTGGTTGCTGCTCAGTGGTTATGCATGAATGTATAAGATATAAGGTATAAGTTGAAAGCTGATGTAACAGATTCATTTTTCTATATTATGTATTTTACATACCCTTATCATATTCCCTCTCGTTCATTTCCTGTGTAAGTAAACAATCCCAATATTTTCAATTTCTTTTTATATGAGTTGCTTTCTGCACTCTTGGTCCCTTCTTGTTCTGCAATATTGTATTTTGGATGAGGTGACCAATAATGCACTCAGTACACCAGATGAAGCAGTACCATTCATTTACGTAAAGGCATTCTAATGGTATTCTAATTTATTATTATTATTCACCATCCTATTCTTTATGAATCCAACACTTTTTTTTTTACTTCAGTTAGACACCGAGTGGGAGGAATCTTTGTTGAGTGGTCTACAATGGGAGAAGAGTTAAGTCAAAATTGAGCACTTTTGACATCCCATTCTTATTGAATATGGGTAGGATTTATAAAAGTGACTGTGTGAGTCAAAAGCATACATTCCATTGAGAGGCCACAAGTTCCATGCTCATAAGACAAATTGTGTAAATTCCACCTTTTACCATGTGCATATATAATTAGATGCAAAGATGCTGGCCCCCATGTCAATGATTGCAAATAATGAGTACAACTGAAATAATTAAATTATTTACCTTCCAAGAACAAGCTAGTACACAGATGAGTAAGTGGCAATATGTTTCCCCTCAAATAATGCAGAAGCAGAGTTACAGAATTATTGGAGCCTTGATTCAAAATTAATTTATATATATTTATATATTTGTTTATTGTGTGCAAAAGTATGTTCTGGGTAAGTAGTAGTATCCATATGATAAATTGCTCATTTGTGTGATGTATGTATGATTCACCTTCAATATCAATCCCATGAGCACCTACTTATAAATGTGTTAATTATTTTTATTATGTTCACTAGAGTCACACCAAGGAATTGACTGAAAAAAGGGCTCCATTTTGTTAGACATGGGGCAAATCGAAAAAAGCTCTGACAAGATAGTATACCCTTAAGGGTAGTAGTGCTTCTTGATTAGCCCCCCACCCCACCCCTCGTCACATGGTAACCTAGGAAATAAGAAGTTTTGGTGAAGAGGAGGCAATCTTGGGAATAAGTAAGGTTTGGGAGACAGGCAGTCATTGTTTCTTTAAGGGCCTTGCAAAGTGAGCGAAGCGAGTCTCCCTTCTCACCCAGGCAGTTGTGAATGAGATAGGAAAAGGAAACAAGCTATATAAAGTACTGCCTTTTCCCTTCTAGCAAGGCACATGTCAAAGAAGATGCTGCCTCCAAGCTTGAGTACTATTTGGGAAAGGGTGTCAAGCTGAAAATAAAGTTGGCTAAAGCCTTCCACTTGGCCTAACCCATTACCACAGTTCCATTGAGAAGGGCTAAAAGGGAAACTCCTTTCTGGAGCGAGAGTTACTATCCATTCTAATGCTAGAGGCAGAGAAACTATGAAATACAAACCCATCCCCAGAAAGAAGGCTGAGCAGAGACTCCTTTTGGAGGAGGGAGATTCTGTGACTGGCTTAAGGCAACAGACAGAGGAAGGGCTACTGACAAAGGAAGCAGTTGCCCCAGGGTCCAGCAGGGAAGTGGCTGTCTGTAGTGTGTGTTTGTGTTTAGGGTTTTCTTGCTGTGCACTGAGCTTGTGTTTGTTTGTTTTTTCCCCTTCCTCCTCTCTCCCCCCATGGAGTGTGTGCTGTGGCTCGCAGGTGGATGCTCTGAGCTTCTAATCAGGGTTTGAAATCTAGAAGCCTCTGCTCATTGGTTGAGCCTTAATCAGGGGAAGGACCTACCAGGCACTCCAGGGCTTTATAAAGGAGCGAGTCAGCAACCAGGGGCTGTTAACAGGGAGTTTGGAGAGGGAGTTAGGAAGGGGAGTGCGA